GATGCACGCAATACCAATACTAAACGCGCAGTCTATGCCGCAGGAGGTTGCTCAGGCAAGTCGGCTATGCTTTTTTTGTGCCGCCAGGAAACTCGTAGAGTTTCTGTCCGACCACAGACGACGCTTCAAATACCAGCGTAAGCGATTCCAGCTAGATTGCGTTTCAATCATGGAGCTCAGAAGGCCGCTTGGCTCTGGAAATCTCGTCATTACGTCCGTAAGCCGAAAGGCAAAACAGATGTTGCAGAGTGCGAATATTTTTCCCGTCGTAGCTAGGATAGGAGACCGAGCTCAGGCCGCTCGAGGCTCTTGAACTAAAGCTCTGATGCTGGTGAGCTGTGACTAATATCTATGTGGCTGCTTTAAATCTCGAGATGGAGGAATTTGACCGCGTGCGCTCTGAATAAACACTTGTGGCTTGCGCGAGTAGATTTCCGGTCGTACCTCGAGTGGCAGCCCGATCGCAGGCTTCTCGAGAGTCCAAACTAATGCGGGCATCTGATGTGATTGGCGTGAATGAGCGCTATGTAGCTGCCCTGAATCGCGAGATCAACTCCATGAACCGAAAGTGCGCCAAACTAATTGCGGAATGCGAGTAGTTGCTCGATCTTCTAGATTGATGCTGTCGGCGCTGGTGAATCAAGTAGTACGAGTAAGGACTCTGTAGCGGCTATGAATTTCGAGATGAAGTCCATAAACCAAGCTTTAGCAGTAACAGTTAGAACGTGCGAATATTTCTTCGGCCATAGATCGAGTCGCAGACCGATATCAGGCGTCTCGCGACTCTTATCTCATGCTTTCGGTGCTTCTGGATCGACACATCTGAATGAGAGCTCGCTAGTTGCCCTTACTCACAATTTTGAATCCATGAACAAAGCTTTTGCCACATATGTTTCCGAGTGCGAATATTTGTTGTCATATCTCGCTTGGCAGACCGATCTCAGGCTTATCCCGATTTCATATTAATGCTTTCAGTTCTCTTGAATTGATGGTACAAATGAGAGCCCGGTAGCTGCTCTAAATCTCGAGATCAAATCCATAAGCCCTACCCGTGGGGAACGCATTGCAGAGTGCGAATAGTTCTTGGGCCATGGCTCGAGTAGCAGACTGATCTCAGTGTTCTCGAACCTTCAGTGTGGTGCTCCCGGTGCTTCTAGATCCATTTGGGCAAGTACAATATCTGTATATGTTCCTACATTTCGAGATTGCGTCCATAAGCCGAACGGACGTGCAACATATGGTTTCATGGCGCGTGCCCGCCTTATCAGTTTTCCCCTTTCAACATGCTTCGTTCCATCTGAGATCAGGATGGAAAGCCCGAGTTATATCGAAGTTGTACGAGAAAAACAAATCCATCCAAAATAAGTTGCCAAACCTCAGCTAACCTATTTTTACATGCAAATGATACAACTGGGCGCCAGCGGTAAACCGTCCACCAATTTTTTTGCTTTGCGCAGAGCCGCAGACCAGGGGTCAGGTCTGCTCGGGTCTCAGGGCCAGTCCAGGACGGTAACTCACTCGCGCACTTCGCGCGGTGCCAACTGCAACGAGCAACGCGGCGACGCCCATCACCAGGCGCTTGCTGGCCAGGAGCTCTGTTTGCGTAGTAGTACAGGAGGCGGGAGCGCCGAATGCCTCAGAAGCGGCATCACACATCCAATACCCGTATGTGGCAGAGTGGAGATATGTAAGGGGTTGTACATACACATCAAGCACCCATCCCGAGACTCCTCAATCTAAGAAGCCACGTTATATATACTACATATACACATTCATTGTGAGGTGTGCTCGGCCCTCACGAGGGGGGTGAGAGGCCCTGACGTGTGACACCTCGGGGACGGTAGTTGCACTTCTAGCAGCCACGGTTGGAGCAAACCCAGAAAACCGTCAAATGTGACACATCGCTGGACTTATTGTTTTCTTGGCCTGTCCCAGGGTCTTCTGTGGCGACCCCTCGGGCAATGCGACAGGTGTTACCCGTGACAACTCCTCCATGTTTAGCTCATTTTGAATATCCGTGACTCACACATGGAGCGGAATAGTACGATGCAGCTGGGGAAGGATCTGAAGACGACGCTCACGATGACGGTGATGGGGGGGGGAATGATGATGATGCTGATGGTGGTGAGGTTGCTTACGATGATGATGATGATGATGATGATGACAACGAGGACGAAGGCGGTGGTTGGGATGATTGTCATGGTAATCCTGATATGGACGACGATGCAAAAGTGCTATATGAGGAGGAGGCAGAAGAGGAGGAGGAATAATCTGAGGATGATGATGATGACGATGATGATGATGCTAATTATGAGGAGGAGGTGGAGGAGGAAGAAGAGGAGGAATGGGAGGAGGAGGGGGAGGAGGAGGAGGAGGAGGAGGAGGAGGATGAGGAAGAGGAGGAGGATGATGATGATGAGGAGGAGGAGGAGGAGGAGGAGGGGGAGGAGGAGGAGGAGGAGGACGAGGAGGAGGAAAAGGAGGAACCGGAGGAGGAAGAGGGAGAGGAAAAGGAAGAGGAAGAGGGAAAGGGAGAGGAAACGTAAGAGGAACAGGAAGAGGAAGAGGGAGAGGAAGATGAAGAGGAGAGGAAGAAGAAGAGGAAGACGACGAATACTAAAAATGCTAATTTTATCGATGCGAGTAATGATAATAATACGAATAGTACTATGAATAATAACCAGAAGAAACACAATATTATTAACAGCAGTAATACTAGCAATAACGATAAAATTAGTCATACGAATGATATTATGAACAGTAATGATGTAACAACACGAATAATAATAAACATCAATATAAAATGAATGTTAATAATACTAGTAATGATAATACGCACAATAATAGTCATTTTAATGATATTAATAATGATAATACTAATAATGAGACTGGTAATCATAACAATAAGAATAATACTAAGAAAGAAGAGGAGGAGGAGTAGGAGGAGGAGGAGGAGGAGGAGGAGGAAAGGATGAGGAGGAAGAACACCGTCACATGTGACACCTTGCAGCTTCACTTCTCGACGAGCCATCGTGAACATCATTCGGGCTGTCAGTGTCCTGTCCAGGCCTCCGGCGGGGCAGTCTTGCGGGTCTTTTGGGGCCCTCTGGGGCCGCCTTGGGGGCCCTGCTGAGCCGTCTTGGGGCTGTCTTGGAGCCCCCGTTGCCGTCTGGGGGGTCTCGTTGGGCCGTCATGGGGCCGCCTCTCGCCGTCCAGGGGTCACCCGAGGCCGTCTCGGGTCCTCGTGCAGGTCCTTTTGGGCCAGCTTGAGGTCTCCTTTCGGCCCGTATGAGCCGTCCAGGGGCTCGACAAACTTGGAGAACTCGAGGAGAATCACTGATCTTGGTTTCTTCGGGCTCTGCTAAGAATTCTCTTGGTGCCGTCTTGAACGCCTCGTGGGCGGTCCCGAAGCCATGTTTGGCTGTTTCGGGCTGTCTTGGGTCGTCTAGGAGATATCTTGGACCATCTTGGCGGCCTTGGTGGCCTGCCTGGGCCATCTAGGACGCCACCTTGGTCGTCTTCGATTCCTCGGAGGGCGCCAAGGTCGTGCATGGGTTCCGACAGAGCCTCGGGGAGGGGGGGCGATGCGCGTCGGCGAACGCTTCGAGAGGGTGGTGGTGGTCACAAAATATAGCCCAATCCCTACCAGACAGCACTTGCCATTCTAGCAGGCCTCAGCGGTCCAATGGGCACGGTGGCGGATCTTCATGGTTCCTCAGGCTTCTTCAGGGTCTTCAGGATTCCGAGGCATTTCTCAGAGTTTCATCCATATTCCTTTGGGTTACTATGCGTTGCTTAGTCTATCAGGTCTCCTACCGAGTTCGTACGACTTCTGCGGGATTCCTCAGGATCTAAAGAATCCGGCGGATTCTTGAAGGTTCCCCATATTCCAGGCATAGGATTCCTCAGGAGTATTAGGGCGCCATGATTCCGCTGGATTTTTGATATTCGCAGGCAGTCCCAGGTTTTCAGAGGAGTTGCCGGGTTTCTCAGAGGTCAGGAGGAATCCTCAAGGCCCTCCATATTCCTCAGATTCACAGGAGTCTCCAGATTTTCGGAGAACCCTTTTGGATTCCCCAGATTTCCGAGGATTCTCTCAGATTTCATTGGGGTTCAACAGGCTTCTCCAGATTACTCCGGTCCTCCACGGTTCTTCAGGACCGCCTGCATTCTCCAGGGTTCTTCCAAATTTTTGAGGAATCCCCCAGACTTGTTTGAAACTCAGAGGATTTCTGGATTCGCCATGGTTGCTCCAGACCTCGTATGTTTGTTCAGAATTTTTCAGGGTTCCACAGGTTGCGGCAGGGCTCCTCAGGATTTCCTGGATGGTCTCATGATTTCTCAGGATTTCCTCTTTCCCAGCAATCCTGAGGTGTCCTCGGGATTCCCCACGAAAGCTGAGAAGTCTCCAGGATCTTACCGTTTTTTCAAGGTTCTTCAGGATTCATTTGGACTTCTCATGTGCCGTTTTTTGGGGTATAGGGTTCCTCGGGTTTTCTCACGGGCCACATGGCTCCCAAGGATCCTGTCAGAATTGTGTTGGGTTCATCAGACTTCCTCCGAGGTTCTTAACATTTAGCAGAATTCTTCTGGATATGCTAACGCTCATCCGGCTGTCTCATTCTTTCCACATTCATGGTGTCAGCCCTATCACCACCTTGAGTCTGCTCCCAGTACAGTTTTGTCAGTTGTACGACAGCCCCGTGGGACGCGCAGTCCGTCAGAGCCCCGAGCAGGCTGCGCTGTGTTGGGAAGCCGCGTTCTATTTTCAGGTTTTGTTTGTGGGGGCTCTTCTTCTCGACGAGTGAAGGGTGGCAGCAAACCTTGAGAACCGGGGGTTAGGCAGGGTCCCCTCCGAGAGGAAGGGGCCATGGCGAGTCTGATGGGTGCCTATGTTCTCTTCTTCTTCTTCTTCTTCTCCTTCTCCCCTTCCACTGATCAGGTGTTACCCGAGCACCCCTCCTCTCTCGCCCCGGGCTGACCAGACGACCGTTCGCGTCAGCGCCTTTGTGAGCGGCCGATCCCCTGACGTCGGACGTCATGCTCTTCTCGCTGCGTGGCCCTCTGGGCCCTTCGGCCCCCTTCAGGGCTAAGCCGGGCGTGTCCCTCTACAGGAGGAGTATTCGAGACTAGTTAGAAAATAGTCTGGGGACGACTTGTCTCTTGCTTTTGGGTTATTTTGGAGTAGAACCTGGTATTTTTCCCAACCATCCTGTGGTGTTGGGTCCTCGTTTTGAAGAGACGTCGCCCCGCGTTCCTTCCTCCTCCTTCCTCCTCCTCCCCTTCCTCCCCCCTCCCATCATCATCATTATCATCATTATCATCATTATCATCATTATCATCATCATCATCATCGTCATCGTCATCACCATGATCATCATCGACATCATCGACGTCATCATCACCACCATCATCATCGTCATCGTCATCACCCAATTCGGCACACCCCTCACACGTTTCGTGGCCCCATAGGGAGCTCCACCGAAGGCCCCTGTGGCTGCGTTCGCATGCGCCCACCGCACCCATTTCGGCGCACCCCTCACACGTTTCGTGGCCCCACAGGGAGCTCCACCGAAGGCCCCAGTGGCTGCGTTCACATGCGCCCACCGCACCGATTTCGGCACACCCCTCACACGCTTCGTGGCCCCATAGGGAGCCTCACCGAAGGCCCCCGTGGCTGCGTTCGCATGCGCCCACCGCACCCAGTTCGGCACACCCCTCACACGTTTCGTGGCCCCACAGGGAGCTCCACCGAAGGCCCCAGTAGCTGCGTTCACATGCGCCCACCGCACCCAATTCGGCACACCCCTCACACGTTTCGTGGCCCCATAGGGAGCCTCACCCAAGGCCCCCGTGGCTGCGTTCGCATGCGCCCACCGCACCCAGTTCGGCACACCCCTCACACGCTTCGTGGCCCCAGAGGGAGCTCCACCGAAGGCCCCAGTGGCTGCGTTCGCATTGCGCCCACCGCACGATTTTTCGGGCGCACCCCTCACATGTTTCGTGGCCCACAGGGAGCTCCACGAAAGGCCCCAGTGGCTGCGTTCACATGCGCCCACCGCACGATTCCGGCACCACCCCTCACACGTTTCGTGGCCCATAGGAGCTCAACGAAGTGCCCCCGTGGCTGGCGTTTCGCATGCGCCCCCACCGCACCCCGAGTTTCAGCCACACCCCTTCACTCGTTTCGTGGCCCACAGGGAGCTTCATCCGAGGGCCCCCCAGTGGGCTGCGTTACATGCGTCCCACCGCTCCATTTCGGCACACCCCTCACACGTTTCGTGGCCCCATAGGGAGCCTCACCCAAGGCCCCCGTGGCTGCGTTCGCATGCGCCCACCGCACCCAGTTCGACACACCCCTCACACGTTTCGTGGCCCCACAGGGAGCTCCACCGAACGCCCCAGTGGCTGCGCTTGCATGCGGTTCCGCCCCCAATTCTGGCACACCCCTCACACGTTTCGTGGCCCCATAGGGAGCTCCACCGAAGGCCCCAGTGGCTGCGCTCGCATGCGGTTCCACCCTTCATTCTGGCACACCCCTCACACGTTTCGTGGCCCCATAGGGAGCTCCACCGAAGGCCCCAGTGGCTGCGCTCGCATGCGGTTCCACCCCCAATTTCGGCACACCCCTCACACGTTTCGTGGCCCACAGGGAGCCCCACGAAGGCTCCCAAGTGGCTGCGTTCGCATGCGCCACCGCACCGATTTCGGCACCACCCCTCACCGTTTCGTGGCCCCATAGGGCCTCACCGAAGGCCGCCGTGGCTGCGTTCGGCATGCGCCCACCGCACCCAGGTTCGGTTTACCCATCACACGTTTTCGTGGCCCCAACAGGGAGCTCACGATGGCCCCAGTGGCTGCGTTTCCACATGCGCCCACCGCGCCCATTTCGGCACAACCTCACACGTTTCGTGGCCCCATAGGGAGCCTCACCCAAGGCCCCCGTGGCTGCGTTCGCATGCGCCCACCGCACCCAGTTCGGCACACCCCTCACACGTTTCGTGGCCCCACAGGGAGCTCCACCGAACGCCCCAGTGGCTGCGCTCGCATGCGGTTCCGCCCCCCATTTCTGCACACCCCTCACACGTTTCGTGGCTCCATAGGGAGTTCCACCGAAGGCCCCAGTGGCTGCGCTCGCATGCGGTTCCACCCCCAAGTTTGCCACACCCCTCACACGTTTCGTGGCCCCATAGGGAGCTCCACCGAAGGCCCCAGTGGCTGCGCTCGCATGCGGTTCCACCCCTCATTCTGGCACACCCCTCACACGTTTCGTGGCTCCATAGGGAGTTCCACCGAAGGCCCCAGTGGCTGCGCTCGCATGCGGTTCCACCCCCAATTTCGGCACACCCCTCACACGTTTCGTGCTCCCATAGGCGGCGCCGCCCTATTTCGGCACACCCCTCACACGTTTCGTGGCCCCATAGGGAGCCTCACCGAAGGCCCCCGTGGCGCAGTGCGCATGGCGCCGCCGCCCCATTTTGGCACACCCCTCACACGTTCCGTGGCCCCACAGGGAGCTCCATCTCAGGTCCAAGTGGCGCAACTCGCATGGCGCCGCCGCCCCATTTTGGCACACCCCTCACACGTTTCGTGGTCCCATAGGGAGGGAGGAGGAGGAGGAGGAGGAGGAGGAGGAGGAGGAGGAGGAGGAGGAGGAGGAGGAGGAGGAGGAAGGAGGCAGGAGGAGGAGGAGGAGAGTGAGGAGAGGAGCGGAGGAGGAGGAGGATGGAACGAGGACGAGGAGAAGGAGGAGAGGAGGGCAGCTCTCACCCTGAAAACTGTCGCGAGAGAGGTATTGGGTCAGCTAGACGGGCAGTGAGGATAGGCAGGAGGAGGAGGAGGAGGGCGGAGGGAGGAGGACGAGGAGGAGGTAAGGAGGAGGAGGATGAGTGACGGAGAAGATGAGTAGGACGGGAGGAGGATGAGGAGTGGAGGAGGAGGAGGAGGAGGAGGAGGAGGAGGAGAGAGGAGGAGGAGGAGAAGGAGCCCCCACGATATCCACAATTGCGGTATTCACAACTACGTATGGTTGGGTCTTTCGTCAGGCTAATTTTATGTTTCGTCCAGAATCCGCCTGTAGGGGGGCATGCCCGACCTAATTCTCGGGATCGGCCTCTCCTCCCCAGTGTTCTTCTTGCTGTCCCCGGGGGCCCGACGGCCCGACGCGGGGCTCCAGAGGCCCAGAGCTTGGAAGAGCTTGCCGTCGCGGTGTCTCCGCGGCGCCGAGAGTCGTGGCAGCATCGCCTCTGTTCGCGGCCGGCTCCTGCGATGGGCCTGGTCGGGGCGCTGGGCGTCCAGCCCTGCCGCGCGCTGGCGGCCGCGCCGCTGGGCGGCGCCGCAGGTGGCTCGGGCCAGCGCGGCGACGAGCTGCCCCGGCGCCGCTGCGCTCTGGCTGCCACCGCCCCGCGTTCGTGGACAGCACCTCGGCACTCGGACGCTGTCAATCTGTGAGCCCTCGTGGGCTCCGGCCAGGCGCACCCTCGGCCCAGGATGAGGTCGGCCCTGTCCCTCTACAGGAGGAGTATTCAAATGTAGAAAAAAAATAGTCAGGGGACTATTTTCTGTTTCTTATTTCGAATATTTTTGGGCATTTGTTGAATACGTTTTCGCCCAAAATCCGCCTGTAGGGGGACACGCCCGACCTAAGCCCAGGACCTGCGCGCGCGCGCGCCTTCTTGGGCGCGTTCGCCATAAAAGCACAGGGTCTTCAGGGAAAGGGGGCTGAGGCCTTTTTTTCCGATTTCGATTTCGCCCTGGAGCCATCAAGAGACTACTGTCAGGATGGAAAGCTGGCCCCCTGGGGGAGGCCCTGTCCAGGAACCGTACCCTAAGGTTTTTTTCCCTGCGACGCGAAGGCGCCGATCCTGATCGGACGGGGCTAAGACGAGGACAAACATGTGCCAGAGCGTTCTGAGCAGGCCGCGGCGCCCGAGACATCCTCCAGAGCCGCCCCATCTCAGAGATTCCCTTTTCATCCTCGCCCCGATTTTAGCCTCGTCCTGGCTCTGGTCTTACCTGTGGCAAGCGTGGGCCCAGCCGGGATCGGTGAGGGCGCGTGTTTGATTCTCTTCAGAGGCGACGGCAGGGGCGAATAGCCCAGGGGAGAGCACTACATGTATCCAGGTGCGCCCACGATCCGTGTCTTGGAAAAGGCACCCGGGCGAATACGTGCCATGCCCGCCTCTGGGCTATTCGCCCCTGTCGTCGCCGCCGATCTCTCGCAGGCCGCCCGCCAGCGGGGCCAGGCCTCACGGGGGAGTGGCCTCCGCGACCCGCCTCCACCTCGCGCTCTGCTGCGCGCCGGCCCTGGTGGCGGGCCGCGGCGCCGCCCGCGTCGCAGCAGGGTCGCGACTGCCCTGCCGGCCCGCTCGCAGGCGGGGGTGCAGACGGTCAGGGGCGGAAAATCATTCAAACCAGCAAGGTGATTATCGCTTAGCTCTGGAGTTTCAGTCGTTTCCAGGTCTTCCGTTGCTACCAGCTTCGAAACGGCTTACCTCCAGAGTGAAATGAGTCGACGGCTGGTCTTCCTCCCGCCCTCAGAATCACTGAACAATCTAGTCAAGTCATTCCTTAGGCCGCCCTTGCTCCTCAGCTGGCGGGGAAAAGGACGCAAGCGAAAAGGGAGGGACATGGGGCGGTCCCATCCGCCCTTTCGCAAACCGATCTCTTCGGCTCACCCTCGAGGAGGCAGCTCTCATGGCGCCCGGCCCCTGCCAGTTGACAAAGCGGTGACCGAGATCGTGCCCGGAATTGGGACCGAAGACGTGGTGTGACCGAAGTTGTGACCGACATTGAACATCGCTCTGGTTTCGAGCCGAGGGTTCTGGTCACTCCGATGCGCGCTCGGAAAAATCGGGGCGCCAGTCTCGGACACGCTCGGGCGGAGTTTTGGGCACGGCTTCGGCCATGGCGCCCCCTCCTGCAGACGAGGCTGCGTGACACCTCTCGGGCCACTCGCCCACACCCCGGATGGAGGCGGGAGTGTCCTTGCGGCAGGGGGCGGCTTGGCCGCGCCCGAGAAGGTACAGGGTGACCGCGGAAGACCTGCCCGTGCCGGGGTTCCTGCAGGACCTCCGCCCGCCAGATGTCTGCACCTGCCGCCTCGGGGTCGTGCCCCGGGCCCTGGAGCAGGGGTGGGCTCCCGATGCCTGCCCGCCCCCGCGGGCGAGAGGGCGCCTCCACACCCGCCGCCCTCCAGAGGCCAGGCGCACGGCCCCGGAAGCCGCGGGCGGCAACATCTGGATGTCTCTCTCTTCGCTGGTGCACAGGAGGCCCGGGGGCAGGGCTCCGTCGCCGTCGCGGTGACGGGCGGCCCTGGCGTCGGCAAGTCCACCTGGATAAACACGCTGCGCCGCCTCCCCTCCGCGCACCCGGACGCGGCGCTCACCGGCGTGAACGACGCCAGGCTTCAATATCGTTAAACCGGTCCCCATTCCTTGTGGGCCATGGTCCCATGCCCCCAGTTGGTGATAGGCCACGCGAAACCCAACGGGAACAGTGTCCCCATCTCGAGGGGTACATCGGCCAAGTGTGTTCGGTAGCAAACCATGGGAGCCGTGTGCGTCCTCGAAACTTCGTCTTTAGTGTGCATTCGTGTGCGCTGGCGTCTTATAATCGATGAGAGAACGCCGACTTATTGTCGATCAGCGTCGATCTAGCCTTGCTCCGAGTCGACCAGCATCGGCCAGCGTCGACTCGCAGGAGCCGGCAAGACGGCATGGGAGGCCTCCGTGACTCGGCACGAAAGGAGGGGACAGGGATCGGCTGAACGTTGCTCCAGGCTCCATCGGGGGCAGCGAGGGGGGGGATAGGCATTAGGGGGGGGATACATCGACCCCCAATCGCCCATTGATCGCCGATAGGGGCCCGATAGCCCCAGCCTGCCCAGGAACGTGCGGATTCACTATCGGAGACCTATCGCCGATCTATCGGCGATGTATCGCCGATTCCAGGTCGATGCATCCCCCCCTGTGCCTATCTCCCCCCCCCCTATCGTTGCTCCTCACTCCAGGCTGGGGCCGCAGATGTACCGGCTGTGGAAGGCGGTGGTGGCCGGCGAGGGCGCGACCGGCAGCGGGCCCGGGGCCGATTAGCGCGGCTGCGCGCCCTGGCCGCCGCCCGATCCCGGGGACTCCCTGGATCGCCTCTTCCCACCGCCGCTTTGTGTGCTCGGGGGCACGGCTAACCCCTCGTGCCCGTTCTAGACGCGTTCGACACGCACCGTCTCGAGCCCTCCTGCTCGTCGCGGAGGAGCGCTTTCATGCTTCGCCCTCTGCTTCTAGTTTTGCCTGCGTCCTGTTTCCCCGTCCTTATGTTCGTCTCCTCTCCTTGTCCTCCTCCTTTCCCTTCCCTCTTGCATCCTCCCTTTCCCTCCTCTCCACTCCTCTTCCTCGACCTCCTCCCTCCCGCCCTATTGCCTTCTCACTCCTTCCCCTTCCTTCCCTCTCCTTCTCATCGTCGTACCCCTCCTGCCTTGGACTCCGGAGGGCTCCCAAAGGCTTCCCGAGGTCAGATCAAGATCCGAAGACGCCCAAAGGCCTCGATCCCAAAGCCTCGACCCTCCATCCTCCCGGGGACAGGAGACTCGTCTTGGTGGTGGTGCCACCGTTCAGGCTCCCCCTTTCCAGTCCGCAGTCCTTCCCAGCGTGGCCGAGCGGTCGGGCGAGCCCGAGCCGGCGGAGCCGCGCGGTACGTCCCTTCTGAGCTCGTGCCGCCAGCCCTCGTTGCGGCCCCTCAGCGGGGCGGCCTGGGGGGACAACAGGAAGGGAGTGTTGTGCATCCAAAGCGCCGCCATGGATCCCCCAAGACGGCTGAGGCGAACTAACAACGGCGGACTATTGCTCGAAGACGTTCATGAAAATTAGCTCAGGATCCCGAAGCGGCTCCCAAGAGCTCCGCAGGAGGCGGAAACCAGTGATTCCACTAAGGTCCTTTTTAGAATTAAAAGTATCGTGCAGTGGCCCTATCGGTCTCATGATCGTCCAAGGCGGCCCGAAAGGCCCCCCAGAGCGCCTCAGGACGGCCCAGAAGTCGCCGAAGATGGCGCCTCGAAGGCTCCGCCACCGACGCGGGCGCGAAGATAAGTGCAGTTCGCGCGTCGCGGCCTGGGGCGGAGAACTGCCCTGCTCCATGGTGGCCGCGCGAGGGCGCAGAGATGACTGCGCATCGCAGTGTCCGACCTGCGAGGTTGGGTGAATTAGCAATCGCGATAGGTTCACGCCGACTTGGCGCGGCGTCGACGCCAGCGCGGGCGCTCAAAGTTGAACTTCACCAGCCGCCTGAGCTCGGCCAGTATTGGTCGATCCAGTCGGATCAGACACCAACGCCCACGCTATATCGCGACGCGGGCCTGTCTTTGGGTGGTTGGAAATCAGGGGTGGAGGGCGATGCTGGCAGCCGCAGCCGATGGGACGGTTTTTCTCGCACACGGCTTGGTCGCCCTGCGCGATTGCAGGGCGCGGTTGCGCTGGGCAACGTGGTCGACGTCATCTCCAGTGGGCCGTCCGACTGGCAGGTGGCACGGGCTGCAAGGAAGATTGGACGAGCCTGCCTCTGCCGAGGGGAGGCGTGGATCTCCAGACAACATCTGTACTTGTGGGAGGGGAACCGTACTTGTGGCAGGGCTTGTCTTATCTGGAGGATCCTTGGCCAAGCCCAGCCCCTCTTCCTCTTTCCTGGCTTGGAGGGCTCTAGGCAGTTGACGACCGTGTCGTGGACATCTTGCGAGGACCGTGGCCAGGCTGCGGCCAGCCCACATTTGCGCGTGGCCAGACTGTTACCTGTCTGTTCCGGGCACAGAGCATCTCGGGTAGCCCACGGGGAGGAGGAGGAGGAGGAGGAGGAGGAGGCGGAGGAGGAGGAGGAAGAGGAGGAGGAGGAGGAGGAGGCGGAGGAGGAGGCGGAGGCGGAGGCGGAGGTGGAGGTGGAGGCGGGGGCGGAGGCGGAGGCGAGGCGGAGGAGGAGAAGAGGGAGGATGAGGAACAGGAGGAGGAGGAGGAGGTGGAGGCGGAGGCGGAGGATGAGGAGGACGCAGGGGTGGACGCGGAGGAGGAGGAGGAGGAGGAGGAGGAGGAGGAGGAGGAGGAGGAGGAGGTGGAGGCGGAGGCGGAGGATGAGGAGGAGAACGCGGAGGCGGACGCGGATGAGGAGGAGGATGATGTTGAGGAGGAGGAGGAGGCACTCAATGACTCACATCTCGCCATCGCCATCACCATCATCGTCACCATCATCATCATCATCATCATCATCATCATCATCATCATCATCATCATCATCATCATCATCATTATCACCATCACCATCATCATCATCATAACCATCATCATCATACTCATCATCATCATCATCGTCATCACCAACACAGCTGTATC